ATCACAGTACTGTCACTTCAGCTGATTTAGTGACAATTCAAGAAAAGGTTTTCAGGGTCTGGACACACCACTGCAGCAAATGTTCTTGATGGTACCTTGTTACAATTTCACAGTTTGATCCTTAATGTCCCCCCTCCCTCCTTGTATAGCTAGAAGGCAAAAAGATGCTGTAAGATAGAGAAAAGAGCACAAAGTGTGAAACACTTTTCGCATTGTAACCTGGGATCTTGTACACTGCATCAGTACAATAATCTGCATCAACTAGTGTCTTAACTCTTCACCTATAGATTTCAGCTATACCTCCACCAAGAAACAATAAATATTCAGCAAATCCTATTCCCTTCTAGCATTGAGGATGTTACCTAGTTGGGTAATGAAATGTCTGCACAATTCAAGCATGCTTGGAGTGTGCCAAGGACTCCAGTTTTTAACCCTCAGCTAATATATTCTCTTGTATTGGTGCCACATATGGCATCAAATATTTCAGACAGCATGCAAATGGAAGAATAACCCTAGAAATAAGGAGGAATTTTCTGACAGTGAGAACAATTAAGCAATGGAATAGCTTGCCTCCCAGAGTTGTGCGTGCTCCACCACTGGAGGTTTTCAAAAACAGACTGGACATCTATTTGACAGGGATGGTGCAAAGCTGCCTGCCTTGAGCAGGAGGTCAGACTAGAAGATCTCCCATGTCCCTTCCAGTCCTATGATTCTATATTCTATGCTCTAAATGTGCACGCAGACAAACCTCCATCAAGGAATAATAAACAAAGAACAAAACCTACTTCCTTCAGCCACTGAACACATTATTTAGTCAGGTAATAAATACCTACATGAAAACAACCAAGTTTAGAGAACACCAAGGAGAAACCATCTGTTTTTTTTTAAAAAAAAATCCTGCTATTTTCACATACTGTATCTTTAGTCAAATTTCTGCTTCATTCCTTTTCTAACTTCATTTGCACAGTAAAATAAAACATCTTGCCAAATGAGGTGTTTAGTTAGGTTGCTATCAACTCAAATTTTGTTTCTGAGGTTGCATATCAAAATGCCATCCATCTCAACTTGTCTGCCCGGACAAAATATAGCACCCCCAAAGACATTTCAACACTATTTCTGAACTGGTAAATCCTTTTTTTTTTTTTTTGCATTTATTTTCTTTCTGTCTATGGAGATTCTCAGTAATCCAGGTCATGGTTGTCTCAAAGATGCTTTTTCAAAAGGCAACTGGATTTTCTTTGTTTTTCCTTGAAGATGTTTCGCTTCTCATCTAAGAAGCTTCATCGGTTCTGGAAAGATGGGGGGGAATGCAAGCATTATTCTCTCTTTTTTTTACTTCCTTCAAATTTCCCATAGTATCTTTTTCCAGTAGATCATACAGTCACATCACATGCCCAAGGTTAACTGCTTGCTAATCTTTGCCTCAGAGGAACAGTCACTCTTTACTTCATACAAATTTGACTAATGAGTTCTTTTGGAATCCATGGTACTATTAATAACTGTCTTTAAACCCATAATTTAAAGATATATTCCTTCCTTCTTTTGCTCCTTCTGAATGTCCAGCTTTGATCACCATAAATTACTATAGGCAATGCTACTTCTTCAGCTGTTCCAGTATTTATTGTCATAAAAATATATTTTTTCAAGCTCTTTTCCAAGTACCAAATGCTTAGTACTATTGTCTAGTACTAGCACTGATGATGTTATCTACTTTGGGTAAGCTCAAAGTTTTCCAAGTTTGATGTTCTCTTCCTCTCTAGAATTAAAGTCTTCCTCAACTCCTCCAGAATCTTGCCCTTTTCTCTACTCTTGAGACCAAGACAACAAATTATTATTTTCACTTATTTGCCATCAAGAATACATTCATTAAGAATTGTCTTTTCAATATTTTCACTTTCTTCATGTCTTGAGTCTTGAGTCTTCTTCACTTTGATTAATAGTGGCATTGTCTGCATCCTGTATGTCAAATTATTAATTTGAATTGCCTATTTTAAAATACACATTTTAAAAATGTAGCTTTAAGCACACTAATAATTAATACATGCACTGCCAGTTATACGTGGGAATAGTTTTATTTCTTTTAACCACCATCAACTGTGAATTCATGAAGTATTAACTTCCTCTTCTCAATATTTAGCATTCAGTCAGAAAATTCACATTTCCTTTGGACTTCCATAATGAGCTCTTCTAAGTTTTCTTTACCTTCATCTAAGAGATTAGAGTTAGCTGTATAACTCAGTTTGTGAGTGTCTGAAGAACATATTTTAAAATATGTGGTTTTTAAAATTGTAACTTTAAACATGTATGAATGCAGGTCCTATCAAGTATATATTGGAAAGAACATATGAGGTGCAATCCATTTGATTGTTTCACTTTGGAAAGGCATCTTCTGCTGTTGAGGAAAGTATCTTTCTACTGCTGTCCTTTTCTATCACTATCATAATGTTTTGGGCAGAAGTCCCAGTTCCACTAGAACAGTGTTTCTTAACCTTGGCAACTTTAAGATATGTGAACTTGAATTCCCAGAATTCCCCAGTTAACCTAGATGGCTGGAGAATTCTCAGAGTTCAAGTACATGTATCTTAAATTTGCCATGATTGAGAAACATTACTCCAGAACAATTTTAAGGGCATGCAAAGCTAAGAAAAAGGAGAAAAGTTGCAGAAAATCCTGTCGTGTATCACAATAGAATCCACTATGATGTTAGCTATCTTTATATTGCTGATACCTGTGTTACAACATTCAAAACTGTACAACACCAGGTCAATCATTTAAGTTCTGGTCCATATACTAGTCTACATTTTAGTCTATAATAAAAAAATAATAAAACAACTAATATTATTATTATTGGTCCAACTTGATTGGCCTGGCTGAAAAGGAATGCTGTAATACTTTTTAAAAAATGGAAAATATGGGCAATAAACACAATGCTTAAAAATGGGGAAAGAGCAAAGGAAAGCCATCAATGACATGCCTAACAGATGAACCTTTGAAAACACAGACATTTTAAACAAATCTTTTGCTGCCAGCATTACCAATCTGAGAAATTCATAGTAAGTTATATATATCTAGGAAATGACCAGGCTGAGCCTGAGGAAAGGGTCAGATGCATCATCAGTCATGAATCCCTGCATACCCATAAGAGATCAAATTCCAGCCCACCTTGAATGCCTCCTTAATTCCTGCTCATTTCCCTTGACAGTTAGTAGCTCAAATTCTTGTAGAGAGCTTAAGCTTTAAATCTTTATACTCATTTGAACTGCTTGAATCTCCTGATTTTCCTGGCACTTGACAATATCTTCACAGAAAGTAACAAAAGATGCCACCTTAAAGTCACATTTCACAGATTGCATTCACCACCCATACCAACATTCAATATTCCTTAGAAAGTCATACTTCTATCCAAAGAGGATCTAGGAAGGTGTCTCGCCTTCATGCTACAAGTTGTCTTTCTTGTTTATGCACATTCAGTATTTGTATGACAGATGTTGAGTCATGATGACACATGGATGGTTTCATCATTTGCTCCCTTGACTCTTCCCTGCAGACATCTCAAGATCATGAACAAGATTCATAACAGTAGCTCTACCAAGTTCTTCTGTAAAGCATTTTGCCAATAATTTACCAGCAAAACAGTCAATACTTAAAAGGGATATCTTCATCTCTAGTGGCAAAGAGCTACATTACAACCTGCTGCTTGTCCTTTTCAATTAACTACAACTGTAAAAAGATGACTAAATGTTTTCCAAGTCTCAATCCAGGGATAATCCATGATGACATTTTCCATGCAGCTAAAGTTAGACAAGAAAGAGCTTTACCATAAAATCCATAGACAAAGAGGTTGTTTTGTTTCACAAAAACAAAGCCTTATCATAGTGTACTATGTATGAAATTGTCTCATGTATCTGAACTGCAGCAGATAGATTCTTTCAGAAACTGAAAGTAATATTATTTTTGAGCCTTTTGTTTCTAGCAATATTGAACAACAGTGGACATTCAGACTCTCAGTTTTGTAGCAAGGAAAAGGCAGTGTGGAAATAATTTACTTATTGGAGACGACATATCTGGCCAAATCTTCTTCATAACTTTCAGTATGGAGGAACATCTGCTTTTAAAGAATGAAACAAAAATATCATTTTTCCAATTTCAATTTGGTTTGGAATCACTTGTGCTACAATCTACATTTTCTTTAAAGACTGCATTACCATATGTTTTCATATATGTTTCTACAGTCCTTCAGTTGGCAGAACATGGGAAATATAATTAGAACTCATGTAAATTTCTGCTTTAGTTGGTTTGGAATGCTGTACACAGAAACCTAAAAAAAGATTGGTTGTTTTCACGAATCACACAGAACATGTTACATTCGTGAAAAGTCCAAAACTCCTCTAAATCGTGCTTAAAATGATTTAAACCCTAACAATTTTGATTTATGTCATCACAGTCTACCTACGTCTAAGATACACAGAGCCCTGAGAAGCATGAAGGAATAACATAGAAATGATCCTTGGTTCCATTTGTTGAAAAAGGTATAGTTTATTAGAGATCAAGCATATTTCAATATTGCAAAGCCAGAACTGAGAATCATGTGCCAAAATCCCTAAATTCTATTCCCCTCACTTAACTGTCTCTCACTGCCCATTCTGTGTAGCCAATTAGATTCAAGCAAGATGTTTTCATAACGGTTAGTCCAAGCACAGTAAGATATGCAGCTCCCTCTTGCTTCCAGCTGAGTGACCTTGAGGCAGCATCTCGAGAAGACACAAAACTTACTTTTATTTCCCCAAGCATTCCTCCTTTATTCCCTCTCCCACAGTTCATGGCAGTCTGTCACTGCATAGCAATGAAGCACAAGCGAGCACAAGATGGCAGCTGACACAGAGAGTTATGGATAGCAGAACCCTTATATCACTTTTGCTTTATGTTTTCAACTAACCATTTTGCAATAAGGAGCTTACTGTTTATTTCATGTAAAAAAGTACTCTTAGAAAAGTACTCACCAACACTTGGATATCCAGGTGTCGAAGGATCACCACCACTGTTCAATGATACCATAAAGGCTTTATTGCTCAGGTTTTGAAACTTTGGTAAATTGCAAGGGTCAATGTAAAGAAGAGCACCTTTGAAGCCTGCCTCTTCTAGCAGTGAAAGCTGAAAAAGCATAAAAGTAAAAAGGAAAAATTAGAAATATCTTCTCATGTTTTTCTCTCTCTTCTTCCCTAAGTGTCAAAAACTTGCAAAACATTACCATTTAAAGAGTTTGAGGACATTGGTAAACAGTCATATTTATGCTTAAATCCAAAAGCCATATGTATTTTAGATTCATAATCAAAATTATAATCACCCCAACGCCCATTATTCAGTATCTCTCTGCTATAATTATTAGAAATAGTATGTTTGACCACGTGTTAGAAAATAAATATACCGGTAGCTATCAAGCTGTTTCACTCTGCTATAATGTACTTGCTTGTGTGTGTTTGTATATTTAAATATTTGGGGGGGGGGAACATCCACAAGCCAAATAAAGATAAAGCATAGTTTGAACACTTTTCAGTGGCTCTCAAAAGTTCACTGGTACATTAAATCTTCCAGGAGACAAGCCAGAATCCTAAGATAGTTAGAAGCTAAATGCACTCTTCTAGCAGTTTACTTTGGCACCAGAATAAACCAATGCAGCCCAATATCTTAGATCAAACATTCCCCTTATACATGAAATGGTCATGAGCAAAGGCCTTAGTTGTGTTTTTATATGTAAATTGACACAACATAACATAACACAACATAATATAACATAACATAACATCAACACCAGTATAATATAATATGCCACATATGTTAAAAGGCAATAAATAATACAATAAGCAAAATATATATTGAGATCCTTTTTACATAGCTGTCCTCTGTTGCATGACTTTTGTTTTGCCTTCCTTAATAGACTTCAGGAACCAAGAAACAAAGAATATAACCTGCTGTTCTGTGATTACACAATCCCTTTAAAGAAGATGTTCAATTGCTGAAATTACTGCATGGCCTTAAAAGACAAATCCTGTACCTTGGCAACAAACACTGCAACATTCTTTCAAACCTATGTGCCCAGTCCTATAAAATTGATGCACTTTTATGTTAAATAAAGAAAAAAATATTCCTGTCCAACTAATTTAAACTCCTTATGAAATGGGAACTTGCAGCCAAATTTCCAGAATCAATTATGTTGGGTAAAAAGGAAACCAGGCTGCCAAAGAACCCAGTGGCTGGACACCATCAAAGCTGACACCAGCCAAAGCATAGAAAAACTCAAAGAAACAGTTCAAAATTGGAAGATGTGGAGAGACCTGGCCCATAAAATCGCCAAGAGTTAGACATTACTGAATCATCAATTATGGGTAGTTTATTTCCAGTTAGTGATGTTTGTGGAAAGAGAGGGTAATGAAAATGGGGGAATCTATCAATTCTGATCCTTAAAATCCCTTGTACAATATAAATAAGAACAACAACATTTGTTGATATGATGCCTTGGGTAATAAAGAATCTCCGGTGGGAGCAGTAAATGTTATGCTGATATACAGTACTTACCTGCCAGCTCAAGGAAATGGTGGACAGCACTAGCTCAGCAACACATTATCAAATATCAACAATGTCAGAGTTACACATAGCCAGATTTACTATGCTACTATTTTAAGACGCTACTATTGTTTTGAACCAGGGTTTACATACTATAGCCCAGAATTTTGCTACTTTGAGTGTTACACTTGAATGCCCTTCTGATAATAATAAAGAGACGCAGAAGTCATCTGGATGACCTAACTTTCCCAGACAATGAGATACTTGTAGTGCAGTAAGATACGACCAACTGCTTTGACAGCATCTGACATGTAAAAACATATTAAATGTTATAGTTTAAAGAGTCAACCTCTGAAACATGTCATCATACTGTCTAATGCTGAATAACTCAGCACACATAAAGAAATCTAACTGCTTTTCAAGTCAGACGCCTTTCTTCTCAAGTGGCAGCTGTTTTGAAAGACCAATAGAATATAGTAGTCCTATAGGTATTTTACCACTCTCTTCTAATTTGACATTTATACTGAAAACAAAACAATTTTGTAGGCTATTTTAGTCAATAAAATTCATCGTTCAGACATATGATCATTCTCCTAGGAGCAATGCTAGGTATACATAGCCAATAATTTGATTTGTTTTTGAGGAAAAGCCAAGCTGATTAATCTACAAATTCTATTTTCTATGTGATAGGAGAAAATGTTAAGTTTTAAACTACAAGTATAACTGTGCCTTGAGTCACTAGCTATTGACACTTGAGCCAGTCTTCCCATTGTCCATTCCCAAATTTTGCATCTAAAAAAAACATTTCAAATTTCTTCCCAATATTGCCAAAATCAGCCATTCTTTAGGAATCACAGTATTGTCATTCTATCTACATCTCTGGCCATTACACATGCTCTGAACCAAATAAAGGTAAAGGTTTCCCATGTCCAATCATGTCTGACTCTAGGGCATGGTGCTCATCTCCATTTTTTTACCCAAGGGAGCCATAGTTGTCCAAAGACATTTCCATGGTCATATGGCCAGCATGACTATACACCAAAGCACATGGAACACTGTTACCTTCCCACTGAAATGGTACCTATTTATCTACTCACATTCAGTGCTTTTTTTCTAAAAAAAAAAAGTGCCAGAACTCACACACGTCATACAACCCGCCTTGCCTACCCTACAAGGTTCCATCAAAAAAGGTGCCGGAACTCCATTCTGGGCATTCTATAATAAAAAAAGCCCTGCTCGCATTTGCATACTTTCGAACTGCTGGGCTTCAGGAGCCAGAGCAAGTAATGGGAACTTACCTCCTTGTACTTATCCCAGACTTGAACACAGGTTGTCAGCTTTCCAACGGACAAGCTCAGCATCTTTAACAACTAAGCCATCTTGTCCCCTCTGTACCAAATAGAAGACACTTCTTTTTGGTATTCTTTGCCACCTAAAAGTGTCACTGCTAGTGTTTGAACTTCCAGAGTTTTCCAACCAGGCATGTTATCAGGGGAATTTAAAGTTCCCAAAGTTGAGAGACACTGGTCACAGCTATAATTATTTGGTAGTGATAATGAGACCTGCTGTGATTTAAGTCTTTTTTATGCTTTGGAAACAAAATCATTACTAAGAGAAAATATGGGCACATAACTGAATCTACTCTCTCAACTTTCTTATAATAAAGGTCTGAAAGTTTCTTCACAGCATATTCAGGGTTGTCCATAAAACTGAAAATTGAGAATATGCAGTTAAGTTGCCAAGGGCATCAAAACACTTCTGTTTCTTCATAGAAATATGTCGTGAACAAGGATACATTGAGAGCAGAGGATGTAGTCCATGTATATGAGTCCCAATGTCCCTTTCCCTTGCGGACATTAAAACAATAGCAACAACAATAACATAGTGAACTGGGCTGCAAAGTAAATTCATTATTCACTTTCAGTTTTGTTAGCCACTCTGAAAAGACATTGTTAGGAAAGGTGCATTAATAGAAAATGTAGTCCTTTTATGTGAGTCTTTTCTTGGGGGCATTAAAAAAAAAACACTGAGTTGTACTATAAAATAAATCCATTATTCAGTTTTGTTAGCCAGTTTGAAAATGCCAATGGGAAGGAAAAGGTATTTCTATTATTTGTATCCCACTTGTTTATATATAACTGAAGGAGGCAGGCATGCCTAATACTCCTTCTTTCTTTTTTTCATTCGGCAACAAAACTATGAAGTAGGTTTGGATGAGAAATACTGACTGGCCCAAAGTCACCCAGTTATCTTTCAAACCTAAAGAGGCCTAGAAATCACATTTTCCTGGTTTCTAGGACACCACATTTACCCCTATACCAAACTGGATCTTAATAATAATAATAATAATAATAATAATAATAATAATAATAATAATAATAATAATAAAGTTGGAAGGGACCTTGGAGGTCATCTAGTCCATCCCCTGCTCAGGCAGGAAACCCTATACCATTTCAGACAAATGGCTGTCCAGTCTCTTCTTAAAAACTTCCAGTGTTGGAGCATTCACCACTTCTGGTTGTTCCACTGGTTAATTGTTCTAACTGTCAGGAAGTTTCTCCTTAGTTCTAGGTTGCTTCTCTCTTTGATTAGTTTCCACCCGTTGCTTCTTGTCCTGCCTTCAAGTGCTTTGGAAAATAGCTTCACTTCCTCTTCTTTGTGGCAGCCCCTGAGATATTGGAACATCACTATCATGTCCCCCCTCATCCTTCTTTTCATTAAACTAGACATAACCAATTCCAGCAGCCATTCCTTATATGCTTTAGCCTCCAGTCCCCTAATCATCTTTGTTGCTCTTCTCTGTACTCTTTCTAGAATCTCAACATCTTTTTTACATTGCGGTAACCAAAACTGGATGCAGTATTCCAAGTGTGGCCTTACCAAGGCATTGTAAAGTGGTATTAATACTTCATGTGATCTTGATTCTATCCCTCTGTTATTGCAGCCTAGCACTGTGTTGGTTTTTTGGGCAGCTGCAGCACACTCCTGGCTCATATTTAAGTGATTGTCCACTAGGAGTCCGAGATCCCTCTCACAGTTACTACTATTGAGCAAGGTTCCCCTATACTATACCCGTACAATTGGTTTTTCTTGCCTAAATGTAGAACCTTACTTTTTTCACCATTGAAAAGTGTTCAAGTCTGTCCTGGACAAATGTAATTTGTAATTTTTTTCTGTTTGAAAATCCTGAAGCCCCTATCACTTCAACCTTTTTTTTAAAAAAAAAAAAGTATGTGCATGAAAATTGTGCAAAATTAAGAACTATCTCACCCTGCCTCCCAAATAATCCAAAAGAATATGGCACAAGCACTTGTCTCAGTTTATAGATAGCCAGATTACTAATAATAATGAACCAAGGTATATCTTCCTTAGTAGGATAAAAGATGAGTTCCTGGATATTTATTCTGAATTCATGCTGAAGTCCCAATTAGAGCCATAAGGATCTGTTAGCAATCACTTTTTTCACTGTACTAATTGGCAATGCATAAAATTACCTATGGGAACCAAAGTGCCACTTATGCTATGGGTAACAAAGAGAGAAAGAGAGAGGAGTAACTGCCTTGCCTTGCAAGAATTTAATTAGGTGACAC